ACAAATCATCACTGTAGGCTGATATCTTTATGCAACAGTTCCCTGAGCTCCCTCAAAATGCATAGCCTCTTTTTTATAGGGCATACAACCAAAAAAAGGCTACACACTTACCTGGCCCATGCAGTTAGAATCACAGGAGAGTAGGGCTAGAAGAGACCTCAAAGAGATCATCAAGTCCAACACCCTGCTCAAGGCAGGATTAACCGTGACTAAATCATCCCAGCCAAGTGTTTGTATAACCTGCTCTTAAAAACTTTCAAGGATAGAGATTCCACAACCTGTCTGGGTAGCCTGTTCCAATGCTTTGCCATTCTCACAGTGAGAAAGTTCTTCCTTATATCCATTTTACATTCCCCTTGCTGCAGTTTCAGAACATTGCTCCTTGCCCTATCCCCTGAAGCCAGAGAACAGCCTATCTAAACTTAATGGGAAGAATGTGTATTAAGATACAGCTCTGACAGCATTGTATACCTCAGAAGCATTATCTGTAATATTAGCAGGCTTAAAGCTGACTAGAGTCCAGTATTTTCAACATTTTTAATAGTTTCAGGGTTAATATCCCCAACAGTGACAGAGCTTTAAGCAAGGTTCCTTAAGTACCATAATGATGTGGCATGAACAGCCATGGAACTGAATCATTCTCAAGCCTTCTAATAATTTTGAAGTTGCTACTAGAAGCCATGAAAATGACAGAAAGAGCCAATCAGTTGCATGACTGCTATTACTAACTTTAAAAATGAGAAAGCAGAGCAACCTTGTAAATAGTAACTGGGCCTTATGTCCAAGGCTTGGAACAGCAGCCTTTTGACAGATGCTTCCCTTTTCTAGCTAGTTAAATGGAGTCTGCTTAGTTACAATGCAGACAATTACAATTAGAAGGCAGTTAACCAGGTAGTAAATTGGTTGGGTGAAAGATGCCATGCACTTAATCTATGTGTAGGTTACCTTTTAAGAAGCACTGATTAACAACATGTAAGAAATTGGGCTTGGCTCTGCATTATACAATGCCTAAGTTTTCAAATTTTGCTCCCTTATAAACTTTTAGGTGGCATTCTTTTCCAACTAGCCTTTAGTGCAAACTTAATAGGAGGCAAGTAAGCTTATGAAGTGAATCACTCACTTATCTGGCAAGCATATAAGTGAAGTGCAACATATCTGTGGTAGATCAAGGAACTGAACCCAGGTCACCAAACAGCAGAGTCTGACACTCTAACCCCCTCCCCTTCTGACAGGGAGGATGGGGGATTGGTGTCCCTGAAGCCTACCACTCTCTGAGGCTACTCTTCGGGCATGCAATTTTCAAACCACTCCTTCCTTGGGATTGCGCCTAAAGGCACAGTCCAGCCTTTTGTAAAAGGCTTTGAAATATGAGTTACAGAGGCATAACATTTTTTCTATTATATTCCTTCCTTCACCTTAAGCCCCCTTCTCAATAAAAGACAGGTGCACTAAGCTCCTTGCCAAAAAATTGAATTTAGAGAAACAAGCCCCTCCAGTTTTATAAGCTACCCCTTCATAAGCTCACTAGCCCCCATATTAAGCTTGCAATAATGGCCAGTTGGGAAAGAATAGCAACTAGTTTCCTGGAGAGTAGTATTTTTAAACCTAGTTTTACAAGAGCCTAAATAATTGCAGACCCTGTAAGAAATGTTCTGTAAAAATATTTCATACATTCAAGCCTTATAAATATACAATCAGCAGTATAATTGATGGGAGATGAGGTGGGGTAGGCAGTCCCAGACACCATTGCCCTTGGGTGAGGTGCAGAAAAAGCCACTGCTGCAGCTGGTGACCAGCCATGTTGTTGCCACTTGCAGCACAGCAGTCAGTAGTGTCCCATACACCTCCACTGCCCAGGTTGTGGAGTTTCCCAGTTAGCCTCTGCATGCAATTCTGTTTTTGTAATGCAGAATAACCTGGCGGATGTGTTCCTTGTTTGTAGCATACATAACAGTTTTTGATTTGAAGAACTATTCTTGTGCTTGCACTGTAGTAAAACCTAGAGTTCCTGAGCCTTGCTTGAAAGTACTGCATATAAAACAGTCCTGCAAAGATTGACTTAAAAAATTCAGCGTATATGAACATATCTTTGCAGTAGTGAGGTCACAAAGCAAAACATGTTCTCTGGCAGAAGAGCTAGACAGACAGGAATGACAACAGGTTTGGGGTAGGGAACTAAACACAAAGCTAATGAGGTGGCAGTTTGCAGGGGTCAAGCTAGCTCTATACTCTCTTTATTTTGGTTTGGGGGACTTTTTTTATTTTAAACATAGTTTGGAGATATTGTATTTGTTTCCTGCAAGTTTTAGTTTCTCATTAAACAAGTAAGGGCCATTCTTTTTCTCTTGGAGGTCTGGAATATATGGAAATAGACAGCAAGTACTCTGAGACCTATGAAAAAGGTATGTTGCTTAGGAAATGAGATCAAATTGGCCTTTAAAACTACATGTGGAAAGGAATCTGCTACAAACTGTAGCTCTGAAATTATTTTAGCTAAAAAAGGCAGCTATCCAAAAGGCTACATCAGTGCAAGAAAAATATATGAAAACTGCAAGGGTTCTAATGGTAACCTATTTGAGCTCCAGTGAATAATTTTCTGGTAATTGTTGTCATCACCTTAAAACTTATGAACTGGTTCAGCTATAATACTAGACTCTCCTGATGGTGTAAGGGTAAAGATAAATTATATAAATTGTGCCAGTGTAAGTTTGGAGTGACTCTACTGTTTCAATAGAGCTACTCAGAATTTAACTGAAACCACTGTGATCTGATTTTACTTCCTTTGCTATGAGTAAAATGTAACTGATCCTCAATCAAGCTTTGTTGCCCCAAACTGTTTGAAATCAATAATCATCCACAAAAGCATAAGCTTGCCAATAAGTATCACATTATATTGAAACATAATAAATGTGTGGTTCTCTTTATTAGGGTTCATGCTTTCAAGCTTTTCCCAAATCCCTAAGGGTTAGAGACTTTTTTTTTTAAAAAAAGCCAAGATTCTCACATAATTACATGACTAAAACCCCCCACCAAGCATCAAAAAATCTGTGATAACTTTGCAAAAGGCCCAAGTCTTCTAGTCTAGCGGTTCCCAATCTGTGCTATGCGTACCACCAGTAATACGCAGACAACCTGTCAGTGCTACACATTAACAGATGTATTATGATTACTTTATATGACAAAAATTTGCTGGTAGTAATTAAGGTCATATCGTTTTGAATTGGTGGTGCGCAATCTGTCTGTCTGTTTGGAAACCACTATTCTAGTTCCTTCAATTTTGCTTTCCCTCCTAACTCATAAAGAGAAGAATGGAAATTCAAGGAAGTG